TCTCCAGCTCCGCGAGCGGTTCCGCACGGACCTTCCCGTCCTGCGTCTGCACTCTGACAGAGGTGGTGAGTTCTTCGATTTTTTGCGGGACTTTGGTCAGGAGGAGGGCATCCTCCAGTCGTTCACGCTCCTGGCCTCTCCGCAGCAAAATGGGGTTGCTGAGCGCCGCATTGGCTTAGTCATGGAGATCGCTCGTACCTCCATGATCCATGCGGCTGCTCCTATTTTCTGTGGCCGTTTGCGGTCCGGTACACTGCGCATCAGCTCAACCTCTGGCCCCGTGTCTCCTTGCCAGAGACCTCGCCCACACTGCGTTGGACGGGAGAGGTTGGAGATGCGTCGCGGTTCCGGGTCTGGGGCTCTCGTGCCTTTGTCTGCGATACCACCGCGGACAAGCTCTTCTGTCGCACCATTCCCTGCGTCTTCCTTGGCTTTCCCCCTGACGCGCCTGGCTGGCAGTTTTACCACCCCACCTCGCGCCGTGTCTTCCCCTCTCAGGACGTCACGTTTGACGAGTCGGTTCCCTTTTACTGTCTCTTCCCCTACCGCACTGCCCCTCTCCCACCCCGGCCGCTCTTTTCCTCGCTCCAGGTCCCCCTCCGGTAGACCCCCTCCCGCTCAGGGTCCAGCTCCTTCAAATGTCTCTCAGGTAGACCCGCTTCCCCTGGCTGAGCCTGTCGAGGTCACTGGTGACTCAGGTGCTGCTGGGGGTGGTCCTGCTCGGGGTGCTGCGTCTGGGGGTGTTGAGCCTGTGGGTGTAGAGCCTTGGGGTGCTGAGCCTGAGCGAGCGGGAGGAGCCTAGGGGTGCTGAGCCTACGCGTACAAAGCCTGGGGGTGCTGAGCCTGAGCGTGCGGAGCCTGGGGGTGCTGAGCCTAGGAGTGCTGTGGCATCCTCTAGTCGTTCACGCTTCCGGCCTCCCCACAGCATAATGAGATTGCAGAGCGCCGCATTGGCTTAGTCATGGAGGTGGCTCGTACCTCCATGATCCACGCGGCTGCTCCCCATTTTCTGTGGTCATTTGCAATCCGGTATGCTGCGCATCAGTTCAACCTCTGGCCCCGTGTCTCATTGCCAGAGACACGGGGGAGGTTGGCGATGCGTCGGTGTTCCGGGTCTGGGGTTCTCGTGCCTTTGTCCGCGATACCTCCGCGGACAAGCTCTCCTCCCGCGCCATTCCCTGTGTCTTTCTTGGCTTCCCAGTAACGCGCCTGGCTGGCAGTTTTACCAGATCGCCTCGCGCCATGTTCAGTCCTCTCAAGACGTCACATTTGACAAGTCGGTTCCTTTCTACTGTCTCTTCCCCTACCGCACTGCCCCTCTCCCCCCCCCGCCGCTCTTCCTCGCTCCAGGTCCCCCTCCGGTAGACCCCCTCCCCCCTCAAGGTCCTGCTCCTTCAGGTGTGTCTCAGGTAGACCCACTTCCCTTGGCTGAGCCTGTCGAGGTCACTGGTGACTCAGGTGCTGCTGGGGGTGGTCCTGCTCGGGGTGCTGCGTCTGGGGGTGCTGAGCCTGTGGGTGCGGAGCCTGGGGGTGCTGAGCCTGAGCGTGCGGAGCCTAGGGGTGCTGAGCCTGCGCGTACGAAGCCTGGGGGTGCTGAGCCTAGGAGTGCTGAGGCTGAGGGTGCTGCGCCTGAGCGTACTTAGCCTAGGGGTGCTGAGCCTGGGGATGCTGCTTCGGTGGGTGCTGAGCCTTGTGGTGCTGCTTCTGCTGGTGGTCTTCTGGGAGCCTCGCGCAGCGGTCTCCCCACCGTGAGCCCCTCTCGCCAGAGGAGCTGCGCGAGTGGCTTGTCTGGCGCGCCCGCCTTCGGAGTCGCGCTGGAGCTGGAGACACAGGAGCTGGGGGCACCGAAGCTGGAGCTCGAGGTACTGGCGCTGGAGGTGCTGGAGCTGGAGGTCCTAGCGCTGGAGGCGCCGCAACTGGAGGCGCTGGAGCTGGAGGCGCTGGCACTGGAGGCGCTGACGCTGGGGACGCTGGAGCTGGAGGCCCTAAGCAGCAGCGTGAGCCCCTCTCACCACAGCAGCTGCGCGAATGGCGTCGCCTTCGGAGATGCGCAGGACCTGGAGGCGCTGGAGCTGGAGGTGCTGGCGCTGGAGGCGCTGGAGCTGGAGGCACTGGAGCTGGAGACGCTGGAGCTGGAGGCGCTGGAGCTGGAGGCGCTGGAGCTGGAGCTATTGGAGCTGGAGGCACTGGAGCTGGCGGCGATGGCGCTGGAGGCGCTGGAGCTGGAGGTCCTGACGTTGGAGGTACTGGCGCTGGAGGCGCTGGAGCTGGAGGCCCTGTGCAGCAGCGACCGTTTTTCTTGCCGCCGCCGCAGCTGTCCGAGCTTCCGCCCAAGTCGATGCTCCGTCAAGTTCTTAGTCTTCTTTCGTCCACTGCCTTTCCTCCGGACTCACCGCTACCTGCCCCGTCTCCTTACACTGAGCACCCTTACAGAGCGTCGTGAGCCTGCGTCTCGTCCTGCCTCCCCTGTTCGCACTGTTCGTGCTGCTCGTCGTGTCCCGCGTCCGCGTCCTCCTCCTATGCAAGGTACTCATACTATGGCACTTCGTCGTTCCTCTGTTCCTCTGCGCGTCCCTCTGCCGTCTCCTCCAGCGCCCTCTCTTCCTGAGGTTCCAAACCCTGAGTCTGACCGTGTTCGTGCTGCCAGCCCTACGATCACGCGTCTCCTTGCCACTGGTATCACTGACCCGTTGTTTGAGTCTACTGCTGCGTCTGCCTTAGTTGCTGAGCTTGTGGACTTTGCTGCTGTCAAACTACGCCACCAGTCTTATTGCTTAGTCTGAGTCTGTCTGTCCTCCGTCCGTCGGGGGTGGGTGTGCTCTTGGCACGGACGTCTTTGAGGACAGGCAGGAGGACTTTGAGTGTCTTGCACCTGAAGGAAACCCGGATGCACTAGACATCCCGACCCCGCGCTTTTACACAGAGGCGATCACAGGTCCTTACTCCTCTCAGAATCAAACAGCCATGGACGCAGAGATGACATCCTGGAAGTCCACAGGCACCTACGTCGATGAGGTTCCCCCTCCTGGGGCGAACATTGTCGATGGCATGTGGATTTTCAGGGTGAAACGGCCGCCGGGTTCTCCACCTGACTTCAAGACTCGTTACGTGGCACGAGGCTTCAGTCAACGACAGGGAGTTGACTTCATTTAGACCTTCTCCCCCACTCCGAAGATGACTACTCTTCGGGTGCTGCTGCACGTTGCCGCTCAGCGTGACTATGAGCTTCACTCTCTGAACTTCAACACAGCCTTCTTACAAGGCAGCCTGCACGAGGAGATCTGGCTGCGCCGCCCACCTGGCTTCACTGGGTCGTTTCCTGAAGGTACCCAGTGGAGCCTTTGACGGCCAGTCTACGGTCTCCGTCAGGCGCCTCGTGAGTGGCACGACACGCTGAGGACGACACTGGCGGCTCTTGAATTTGCTCCTTCCACTGCTGACCCGTCGCTGTTTCTACGCACTGACGCGTTGCTTCCGCCGTTCTACATCCTCGTGTACGTCGACGACTTGGTCTTCGCCACTGCTGACACTGAGGCACTCGCTCTTGTGAAGTCGGAGCTGCAGAAGCGACACACGTGCACGGACCTGGGTGAGCTGCGCAGCTACCTTGGCTTGCAGATCACCCGGGACAGAGCACGCCGCACCATCACCCTGATTCAGTCACACATGGTGCAGCAGGTCCTTCAGCGCTTCGGCTTCCAGTTCTCCTCACCACAGTCCACTCCTCTGGCTACAAGTCACTCGCTCTCAGCTCCACCTTCGGACGAGTCCGTAAAGCCGAGTGGCCCGTATGCAGAGCTTGTGGGCTGCTTCATGTACCTGATGACCTGCACGCGTCGTGACCTTGCGTACACTTTTAGCATCCTAGCTCGCTACGTTGCGCCTGGGAGACACCGGCGAGAGCACTGGGAGGCTGCTAAGAGGGTGTTGCGCTACTTGTGCAGTACATCGGGCATGGGGCTGGTGCTTGGAGGACGGGGTGACGTTGTCCTCACTGGACACTCAGACGCTTCTTGGGTTGACGACCTGGCTACGCAGCGGTCGTCGCAGGGTTACACCTTCAGCCTTGATTCCGGCTCTGTTTCTTGACGGTCTAGTGACTCGTCTTCTGTTCTCAGCTCCAGCTGTGAGGCTGAGATCTACGCAGGAGCCATGGCTGCACAGGAGTTACGCTGACTCACCTACCTGCTGACTGACTTGGGAGAGTGGCCTAGTTCTCCTCCAGTTCTGTACGTTGAAAATAAGGCAGCCCTCGCCTTGTGTCAGGAGCACAGACTGAAGCACAGAACGAAGCATATCGCTCTGCGCTATTTCCTTGCCCGAGAATTGCAGCAGCGTGGCCAGCTCCGTCTTGCTTACGTGGACACACGGGCCAACACAGCTGATATATTCACCAAGGCACTTCCGTCTGGTGATCATCAGCGTCTCTGTACTGCTTTAGGCCTCGTGCCTACGTTCTCTCACTTGCTCACTGCTTGACTTTGCTTGTACTGTGATCTATGTATATATGTCTGCATGCTTGCACTTGCTATATAGTGATCACTGTACTGTCTGCCTTGTTCTATATAACTCTGCATGTGAACTGGCCTTGTGGCCTTTTGCTTGTGCTCAGAATGTGTGGTGACTTCGTGATCCACCCTGAGCTTACTTTGTTTTTCTTGACTGGTCTTGTGACCACTTGTTCTCCCCCACTTTACCTATGGGGGTGTGTCAAATGTTAATATTGTATAGGCTGTAGTGGGGTAGCCCATAAGGGGTACAACCCAAATTAGGGTTAGTACTTGTACCCAACTTTCTGCTAATTCAGTCATTCCTGCTAGTCTGTTTCAACAAAGGGGTGATAGTGATAGACGAAACCAGGACAAGTAGGGGAGTGCAGAGGGGAGAGGGGCGGTGCGCAGAGAGGGGCGGTGTGAAGAGAGGGGCGGTGTGAAGACAGGGGCGGTGCGCAGAGAGGGGCGGCACCTGTTGGTCGGTCATGCCGGGCTTGCCAGTGGCCCTCATTGCCACCTCCGCCTGATGGTAGGGCATGGGTGGACGGCCATGGGTGGAGGGCCATGGGCGCAGCACATGGGAAGGATGAGGGGAGGTATGCAAAGCACAGGCGAATATGGTAAAGCAATCTGTTATGCCAAGCATTGCGCAATGCTGTGCCATGCCATCCCATGTCATGCCACACCATGCAATGCCTTGCCACCATATCATCTCATAGCATGCCATACCTGCAGGCGCCAGTCAAAGACCCAATCAACGTCCGCCACCTGTATGATGACCCACGAGTCCACCATGTCGTGCCACGTGCGGTACTGCTGCAGCCGCTCGTTCACCTCGCCCAGCTGATAGGGGGGAGGATGGGAGGGGGAGGTGGGGGGAGGAAGTGGGGGTGGGGGGTGGTGGAGGGGTGTGTCTGATAAATACTGTGCTAAGGCAAAGCTCTTACCTTTAGAGATGAGCTTCAGCCATGGGTAGGAGGGTAGTAATAGGAGAATTGGCTCATCGGACTGCACAGTTTGTATGGTGTTCTGTTTCACTGCTAGCTTTACATTGCTCATCCGCAGTTAATTTTAAGGCCATAACAAACTGTGAAGGAGGCGGACAGGAAACGTTTCTTTCATAGAAACAGTCCAAGGGACTGAGATCGAGGCGAGTGGTCAGAGCGTGCGTGCCAGGAAGGGAAAGCAAGGGCGCTTGCATGAGTGCTGATCGACCTGCTCAGCACACCCAATGCTGCGGTCAGCATGCGAGGTGCTGCGCCGAGCACCGCAGCAGCACGGCCAGAGGGCAATGCCCGAGGCAAACGGCCATAGCAGCGTGCACAGCACACAGTCACAGCCGTGCTTCTTCCCTTGCACACACCTGAGGGTCGATGGCAGCAGCCTTATCAGCGGGCAGCGCGTGGAAGCCGAGCATCCAGCCCTCAAAGAGCACCACGTCCACCGGCCCCTCCACTGCCGGCCACCCTGCCTCGGGGCTGCGGTCGCCCCGGCCGGAGAAGGCTGACTGGGTGGAGGGGGAATGGCAGCGGGTTGAGGGGATTGAGATGGCCGGCACGGTGCTTGGAGGAGGGGAAAGGTGCAGACGAGCATCAAAAGGAAGAGGGCAGCAAACGGGGGAGGGCGGCAAACAGGGAAGGGCAGCAAACGAGGGAGGGGCATCACACATTGCCTCATTCAATTCTCAGTGCTGCGACTCTCACCTTGTCGTAGCGTGGAAGAGGGACCTTGGTGCCTGGGGGCCAGGCCATGAAGGTGGGGGTGCGTGGGAGGAGAGGCACAAATTATGAAGGGGGAGGGCGCGCATGTGTATGTGAAGAGATGCCCGAGAGGGCAGACACATGGATGCCAACCGTTTTCAAACAGGAAGCATTCATGTCATACCCAGCTGCACGGGTCATTTGTTCATGCCCCTAGTCATGGCATGCACGCGATGTATGTTTCGATGGCCTTACGCGTTTTCACAAAACCATCCAGGCATGCCCCTTTCCCATTCCACCCTCCTATGCCCCTTTACGACCTCGTTCTCACTATACCACTCACATCACCCCCTTCCCATTACACCCCCACTGCACCCTCATGCACCCACCACCGCCTGTGGTGACCCCCCCCCACCTCCACTCATGTGCTCCATCCCACCCTGCACTCTGCCCTCCCCGGCTCTCGTGCCAACTGCTCTCGTGCCAACTGCTCTCGTGCTACTGTGTTCTTGCCTCACCAGGTGCCTCACCAGGTGCTGTGGCCTTCTTGAGTGCGGAGAGTGTGGAGACGCCGAGAGCGAGGTCGTGTGAGCCGGCGTTGCCCCTCAGCTGAGGGGAGAGGTGACACAGGCAGGAGGACATGATGACGACGACGACGGCGGCGGCGGCGGCGGCGGCGGCGGTGGTGGTGGTGGTGCAAGCGGGGTGCTTTTGGGGTGCATGTGGGTTAAGGTGGGGGCGCAATGGCAGGTGACGGATGCTGACAGAGGTTGAAGGATCAGGAGAGGAGGAGAAGGAGGAGTGCACTGCAAGCGAGAACAGCAAAGTGAGGTGTGGGGATGAGGGCACCAGGAGGCAGGGGATGAGGGCACCAGGAGGCAGGGGTGGAGGAGTGGAAGCAGTGGTGGGGCAACATGCAGGGACAGTAAAAGAGAGATGGCGAGAGGGTTTAAGGGCGGGAGGGGAGCCAGGGAAGGCAAGCGGTGTAGAGGGGTTGAGTGGTGGAGCGGGTGGGAGAGGCACCTCAAGCAGGCGGTTGCCGGGATGAGCCTCGCGCAGTGCAGCCTGGGGGGCAGAAAACGAGCGAGAAGACAGTGCGCATGGGCGTGTGAGCAGAGTGGGTGTGAACGGGGCGAGCATGGAAGAGGTGGCTGGGATTTCTTTGTGGTCAATCGGCATGCTGCACGCATGCTGTATGCATGCATGAGGGCCATGCCTTGTGAGGAACATGTGAACATGCATGAGAGGCATGAGAGACAAGAGAGACAGGAGAGGCATGAGCAGCCGGAGAGGCATGAGGAGCATGAGAAGCATGCATCTGCCAAGAAGTGGGCGGAGTGATGTGGCAGTTGCAACGAATGCATGGCAGAGCTGGCGCTTAAAAAATGAGGAGGCAAGGAGGGAGGGCGTGGGGTGCACCTGCTGCTGTGCGGTGAGGTAGAAATCATCGATCGACACCGTTGCTGCCGTGCTGGCCCCCCGGGCGTAAGGGCAAAGGGGGTAGAGAGGGCAGAGAGGAGGTCAGGAGAGAGCATGTGAGGCACAGAATGAGAGGTTATCCATAGAGAGCACAGATGCAGTGGGGCACATAGTGAGCACGATGGAGAGAGCCAGACAGTGCAACCAAGAGCTGAGGTGACCGCATTGTGCGCACTGCTTGCTGCACTGCTTGCTGCACTGCTTGCTGCACTGCTTGCTGCACTGCTTGCTGCACTGCTTGCTGCACTGCTTGCTGCACTGCTTGCTGCACTGCTTGCTGCACTGCTTGCTGCACTGCTTGCTGCACTGCTTGCTGCACTGCCTGCTGCACTGCCTGCTGCAATGCTTGCTGCACTGCTTGCTGCATTGCTTGCTGAACTACTTGTTGCACTGCTTGCTGCACTGCTTGCTGCACAGCTTGCTGCACTGCTTCCTGCACTGCCTGCTGCAATGCTTGTTGCACTGCTTGCTGCATTGCTTGCTGCACTACTTGTTGCACTGCTTGCTGCACTGCTTGCTGCACTGATTGCTGCACTGCCTGCTGCACTACTTGTTGCACTGCTTGCTGCACTGCTTGCTGCACTACTTGCCGACTAAGTGGGCATATACGTTATGGATGGCGAGCGTCCAGCGTATATACGCTAGCGTCCGTACGCTGGACGCTCGCTGGACGCTAGACCCTCGCCTGGGAAATTTTCGAGCAGCCCAACGAAACAAAACAAAACCAGATCCACAAATTGACATTTGCGACGAAATTGACATTTGCGACGTTAGGCAAATTTGATTTCGAAATGAATCTGGTTCAATCTCGCCGAAACAGAACCAGATCCACAAATTGTCCATGCAATTTCTCTTTCTACCGCATTTCACTCCTCCTAATCTAGCAAAACCAACCCAAAGTAAGTGGATCGACTAACCCTGGCACGCACATTTCCCTGCCAGAGTTAGTCGACGATTAGGTAAGTTTCACTAACTCTCCCACCTAGGCGGCAAGCAGTGCGGCAACCAGGGCGGCAAGCAGGGCGGCAAGCAGAGCGGCAAGCAGAGCGGCAAGCGGCAAGCAAGGCGGCAAGCACGGCGGCAAGCAGTGCAGCAAGCAGTACAGCAAGCAGTGCAGGAAGCAGTGCAGGAAGCAGTGCAGTAAGCAGTGCAGGAAGCAGCGCAGCAAGCAGGGCGGCACGCACCAGTGTGTGACGGCAAAGAGGTGCTCGAGGGACTCCACCACTGTTGTCTTGCCACACCCCTGGGGGGCACTGATTCCGATCTGATGCCATGCATGGGGCATGGGGAGCATGGGAAGGATGGGGGGGTTGGGGACATGGCAGATAAAGACTCAAGGTGAAGTAGCGCACAAGAGTTTGTAACAAAATATAGTAACACACTTGTGGTTATTACCAAACATGGTTAAGAAACACGTCTTGGAATAGCACCAGACATAAGGTTGAACAACACGTTTATGCTTAGTACCAAACATAAGACTATGTAACACACCAACCATTTCATACCAGACTTAACATCACCAATCCACTAGTAGTTAGTACCGCACCGGCTTGCAGAAATACTCTCGCATCCTTTTAGCCCCTCCTTACGTTTCCCTTTCAGTCCTCTCGCCTTCTCTTCGTCATCCTCACACCCCTCATTACAACCACGCATGCCACATTCGCCCTACCCCCTGCCGCATTCGATTCGACCTCACACCCACCCACCACGAGGGGCGGCGCCTGAGTGGGTGCCGCCTTGCCGCCCTGCGCCTGGCGTCGATGTTGCTGCAGCTGGCGCCAGCACCACGAGAACACGGGCAGGTAGTACTGGAAGATGCGCCGCAGCTGAGCTTCCTCCAGTTGCGCCTTTCCCTCCCTCTGCGCCCCCACGAACCCCAGCTGCAGCGCCAGCTCGCCCCCCAGCGCGCCCCACGCCGCGGCGTCGCGCTGCACGTCCGCCTGCGCCAGCCCCGCGCTCTGCAGCAGCGGGCTGCGCGCCACGAACTCGGGGAGGTCTTTCAGGGGGAAGACTTGTGGAGGCGCGGGGTGGGTGGGTGGGAGGGAGGGCAGGGAGGGCAGGGAAGGGGAGGGGACGGCGGAGGGGGAGGTGGCGGCGGCGTCTTTGAGGCTGCAGTCGGCGTGGCGGCGGGGGAAGGCGGAGGGGCGGCGGGGGCAGCGCGAGAGGGACGAGAGGGAGACGCGTTGGGGAGGGGCGGCGCGTGCGCGAGCATGGAATCGAGTCTGGCGAGGGCACATGGGAGTCTGGCGAGGGCACATGGGAGTCTGGCGAGGGCATGGGAGAAGGGAGCGCACATGGGAGAAGGGAGCGCACATGGAGGGCAGATGGGGGATTCAAATCCTGCCACATTGGCCACTAACGATTCACGCTCGCGGGTGGCGAGCTGGCGGCGTTCGCGCGCTGCTGCGAGATACGCGAGGTGGTGTAACTCGAGGACAAACATCGTGATCCCCTTTTTCCTTGCACGAATTGAAGCGTCGCGCGGTGATCATCCCGAGCGCGTTACCAGCATCACACGCATTCTACTTGCGCGCTTCCTCTGCGCCCACTCCCTCCCTCATTACTCGTCTCATTGTTCTTTCCGGCCTTCCAAAATGCCAGCAAGCCCGCACCGGCGGACAGACCGTGGCCGCCGCGCCGCGCGACGTGAGTGCAACACGTACCGCGAATGTACGCGAGACGGAGCCGTTGGAGGTCGAGACGTGGCCCGACGTCAGACATCTCGCGACGGTCGTCGGCAAAGAGCGTGACGACGCTGTGTGCGACACAGCGTGCGACGAGGTGAGGGCCTCCATGCCTCGTGAGCTCCGCGGGCCGCCGCGTGCTCAGACTCGCGATCGGCGCCCACGACAACCCAGAGGATACTCGAAGCTCTGTGTGAGAGAGAACGAGGGACGAGGAGAGTCGCGCCAAGCCTCACGACGAGAAAGCGAGCGGCAGAATGTCGGGCGTGTATGTGTGGCGCGTGCACGCAAAACTAATCCGCCTCTGCCAAGACTCCCCTTGCTACCGCACGCACCACGCCTGCCTGCTGGCTATCGCCGTGGTATCTGGGCAGGTTGCAACCTGTTCCCGAAGCGCGCGCAGGAGGAAACTCGAGCGAGAATCGTTGGTTCGGTCAGTTTCAGATCAGATCGAGGTGAATGCACGTGACGTGGCATCGCCTACTGGTCTCACCTGAAGCTGCTAACAGGGCGCCACCTGGCGCGGGATCTCTCAGTCGTTTCATCTACACGAGTCAATCGGGTGAACATCTGGCCGTCAATTGCCACGATTCCGCTCGCCCAAAGAGGTCTCCGTTACCGCTCGAGGCCATCTCCCATACAGCCGCAAACATGACGAGACTTCACACTCTATAACATACCATCATGTTTGTCAATGGAAATGACAATTACCATCAAAATGCTTGAGACCTAACTATTCGTTTGGAGGGTGCACATTATTAGCGCGTACATTCCCCCATCGCCTCGACTCGGAGGAGCAGCAGCAGGTGTTCAACGGGCACCTCATCTTTAACTACACTTTTCGCGAGCACGAATTAGCGGGAGAGCGAAGCACGGCTAGATCCCGATCACCGCAGCGACGAATCACCGTCGCTCCCATCGCCACAGATCCAGCCGTCCTTGTGCCTCTTTCACCGCGCGTGCGCGTCGCAGCGATGGCGGATCCGGGCTCGGGCGAGGCGCAAGGCGAGGCGAGTTTGAAGGAGCGCGGCAACGCGGAGTTCAAGGCGAGGAACTTCCTCAAGGCGGCGGCGCTCTACACGCAGGCCATCAAGGAGGCGCCCGACAACCACGCGCTATACAGGTAACCGCGCCGCTCGCGTTTCCTTCTTATATCCCCGTTTTTTCGTATCCGTGGATCGCGCGACGGCCGTGGCTGACTGCACGTGCGGCGCGCAGCAATCGGTCGGCGGCGTTCCTGCAGCTGTCGAAGCTCACCAAGGCGCTGGCGGACGCGGAGGCCGCCATCCGCCTCAACCCCGCGTGGGAGAAGGTGAGCACAGCGCCGCTCCAAGGGGTTCACGGGGTTTCGCGTCCGCCTCTGCCGCCGGGAAATTGAGACTCACTCATGCGCATCCTCTCGTGACTTGCGATGTGCGTGTGGCGTGGTGGCGTGGCGTGTGGTGTGGCGTGGTGGCGTGGCGTGGTGGTGTGGCGTGTGGTGTGGAAGTGTGGCGTGGCGTGTGGTGCCTCGCAGGGCTACTACCGCAAGGGCTGTGCGTTGGAGGCAATGAAGCGCTACGACGAGGTGAGCCGCGCTCAATCCCTCTTCACCGCGCTGCTGCCCTCACCTGCCCTCAATTGTTCAATTTCCAGTTTCAAAGTTGGGTCCCGGGGTGACGAGTACGTGTGTGGTGGCATGCTGCTGTGCTGCGCTGCGCTGTCCTCAACTGCTGCGCGGTGGCAGGCGTTGGAGGCGTTCAGGGAGGCGGCGGAGAGGAGCCCCGGCAGTGCGGAGACGGCGGGCAAGCTGCGGCTGCTGTCCAAGCTGGCGCGGGACCACAAGCGATCGCACCCCTCCTCGTGACCCCCGCCCTCCGTGCCGTCATGGCACGCCCTGTTTAGGTAAGTCCAACGCACGTGAGTCCAACACACGTGAGTCCAACGCACGTGAGTCCGACGCACGTGAGTCCAACACACGTGAGTCCAACGCACTTGAGTCCAACGCACGTGAGTCCAACGCACGTGAGTCCAACGCACGTGAGTCCAACGCACGTGAGTCCAACGCACGTGAGTCCAACGCACGTGAGTCCGACGCACGTGAGTCCAACACACGTGAGTCCATCGCACTTGAGTCCAACGCACGTGAGTCCAACGCACGTGAGTCCAACGCACGTGAGTCCAACGCACGTGAGTCCATCGCAGGTGAGTCCAATGCACGTGAGTCCAACGCACGTCAGTTCAACGCACGTGAGTCCAACGCACGTGAGTTCAACGCACATGAGTCCAACGCACGTGAGTCTATCGCAGGTGAGTCCATCGCAGATGAGTCCATCGCAGGTGAGTCCATCGCAGGTGAGTCCATCGCAGGTGAGTCCAAGGTTGGCGAGTCACCTGCTGCAGAACCACCCTCCTTGCCTCGACCCCCCCCTTCACTCGTCCTTCTTTTCTCACCCTTCTCCTGCTCGCCGTCGTTCCGTCCTTTTCCATTCCCCCCTACTTGTTCGTCCACTCCTTCCCCACCCTGTCGTCGTCTCACTCGCCCTCCCCTCCTCCCCTTGTTCCGCCCCCTATCGGCCTCGCCCCCTATCGGCCTCGCCCCCTATCGGCCTCTCCCCCTATCGCCCTCGCCCCCTATCGGCCTCGCCCCCTATCGGCCTCACCCCCTATCGGCCTCGCCCCCTATCGGCCTCGCTCCCTATCGGCCTCGCTCCCTATCGGCCTCGCTCCCTATTGGCCTCGCCCCTCGGTGCTCATCTCCGTTCCTCACTTTGCAACCCCCCGTTCCTCACTTTGCGACCCCCCGTTCCTCGCCTGCCTCGCTCATCATCTGCCCACGCCGTGCCGTGAACCACTCCTCGCCCCTCTAGAACCCCTCACTCACGACCCTGCAGCAAGGTGGAAAAAAACGGTTGCGGTAAAAAACGATTGAAAAGAACGATCGTTTTTTACGGTCAAGTTTGGGAAAAAAACGTCGTTTTTTTGTTAGGCCCAAAAATAAAATTCTGAAAAAAAATAAAAAAAAAACCTAACAAATCCTCAGGGACCAACACTCTCTGGCAAGTCAGTGTTGAGAAGTTTCTAGCCTGATTGCAATTAAAATAAAATATAGAAAGGTCGTTACAGCTCATCACTCTCTATCTAACACCATCGATGTCACTATGGTCCCATGCGTTGGACCCGCCCCCCTCCTCCTCCTCCTCCTCCTCCTCCTCCTCCTCCTCCTCCTCCTCCTCCTCCTCCTCCTCCTCCTCCTCCTCCTCCTCCTCCTCCTCCTCCTCCTCCTCATCGTCTTCGTCAGCCGAACGCTTCTTCTTAAGCTTCTTGGTCGCCTTTCCCTTGTTTCCCTTCGTCACCTCTTTCTTCTTCCTCTTTCCGATGCTGCCAAGAGCTTCCCAGTCAATCACGCAATCGACATCACCTTCTTCCTCTTCAACCCGTTGTTCAGAGCCTTCGGCCTGTGGTTCAGAGCTTTCGATTGCCGTCGTCGTCACTCTTTCTAGAGTGCTCTCGTTGAGCTTGCCTGCTGCTAGGTCTGCAAAAAGTTTGGCGCGCACTTCCTGCTTCTTGTCGAATGCAGCCCTCGAACGCCTACTGAATGCCACCGTGGTGACATCGATCATGGTCTGAGCGCTCAGCCTGTTGCGGTCACGCCGCTGCACCCTTGCCATCGCAGACCAGCACCTCTCAACTTCCGACGCAGTGATAGGCTGTGATAACATTCTCACAGCCAAATCCTGCAGCTCGGGGAGTTCCCCTCCATACATCGCCCACCAATCCGCATGTGAGAGACGTCCACTCTCCACGAGCATCGCTGCGGCCCGTGCATCTTCCCCCCCCAGACGACCCTCACCTCTGTGGTACGTAGCAAGCTGGGCTTGCAACAAGATACGGCCTTGCACGTCACCTCCTCGTGCCTGCAGCACGGCATTGACCCCTTTGATGATCTCGGGGTCGTTGCGGACTTCAATCGCAAGCTGGTTCTTCGGGTTAAGGAGCCAGCCGAATGCCTTCCCCTGCGTCGCGCTGCCCCGCGCACGCCCTGCTCTGCCCGCGCGCCGCTCTGTTGACCGCGCGCGGCCTATTTTTCCTGCCCGCGCGCTGTCCTGCCAGCCGCGCGCCGCCTCTGCACGCCAACGCGCGGCCCTATGCAGACCCGCGCGCTGCCTCGCTTGCCGCGCGCCGCCTTTGCCTGTCCGCGTGCCGCCCTTTACAGCCCGTGCGCTACCATTTCTGCCCGCGCACTGCCCTGCCCTGCCCTACGCGCCACTCTGCGCTGCTAAGCTATGGCCACTCTCAGTGTTCTCAAGTTCGATCCTGAGGGCCATCCTATCCAGTTCGAGACGTGGCTTGATGACCTACAGCTGTACCTGCTGAGCGATTCTAAAGACAATGTTTCGCTGTTTGACCACACGTCTGGAGCCTGTCTTGCCCCTCCCGACACAGCTGACAGTGCGACTCGCTCACAGTGGCTTACCCGTGACGCTGCTGCTCGCCTAGCCGTTCGCAACCACCTGCCGTTAGTCGAACGCGCTCACTTTGGACAGCATAAGACTGCTAAAGCCCTAAATGACGTTGTAGTCGCCCGCTACTCTTCCCCTGCCACTGCAGCTCTTGGCCGCCTTATGCTGCCCTACCTGTTTCCCGAGCTGTCCTCCTTTGCCACTGTAAAGGACCTCATTACCCACCTTCGCACTAGCGACGCTCGCTACCGTGCTGCCCTTCCAGCCGAGTTTGTCCCCAACAACGAGCCCTTGATTTACATCACTCTCTACTTTACCGTCACTCGCCTCCCTGACTCTCTTCGCGCAGTCAGGGACCACTTTCTCGCTCTTAACCCCACAGACCTCACTATCGACCTGCTCGAGAAGCACCTCCTTGCAGCTGAGACTAGCGTAGTCGCTGTAGGTGCTACTCGTGGCACTCCTCGCACGCCCTTCTTTGAGGGGTGCTCCCCCTCCCCCCTTGCCCCCTCTGTTGCTTCTGCTGCTGCTGTCGACTTCCTTGGTGCTGAGGAGGTCGGTGCTACTTCTGCTCCTACTAGGAAGCGCCGCAGCGGCAAGGGCAAGGGAGGCAAGAGTGGTGGGGGTGGCGGCGGGGGGGGGCGTGGTGGTGGAGGTGGTGGAGGCGGTGGAGGTGGTGGAGGTGGTGGTGGGATTGGTGGTGGAAGTGGGGGCGTTGGTGGCGGCGGTGGCGGCAGCGGTGGGGGTGGAAGTGGTGGTGGTCGTGGCGGCAGTGGGAGTGGTGGCGACGATGGTGGCGGCGGAGGGAGTGGTGGCGGCGGCGATGGTGGTGGTCGGGCTGGAGCAGTTCAGCGACAGCAGCAGCAGCGTCCGTGCGGAACCCTCAAGCCCGTCCCAGCAGCTTCGTGAGTGGTACGCTCAGCGTGGGGCGTCTGGGGGTAGTGCTCGCTGCCCGTACGTCATTCGCACAGGTGACCGCGCTGGTCAGACGTGCGGGAAGTTTCACACCCAGCACCGCTGCTTCTCCCGCCTAGACGACGCTTGGCGCGCTGAGTTTGGCGATGAGGCTGAGATGCCCCGCTGGGCAGAGCTGCTTAGGTCTGGTGTCGACATCTTTGCTATTGACTATGACGCTATCCTTGTTGGCATGTATGCTTTGATTGTTTGTGCAAAGGGTGACTGTTACTTGTGTGTGCCGCCTGACCCAGGTATAGAGGCTGCTGCTCTAGGTGCTAGTGAGTCTGCTCTCTCTGGTACTGGGCCTACTCAGGCCTTGGACACCTTCACGCTTGACGTGCTTCTCGCTGTTTCTTTTGCGACACTACCATAGTCACACCACTCACTAGTCCCATTGCAGTTTCTCTAGCTGACCCCTCTGGGGGCCCGGTTCTTGCACGTTCCTCCACTGTTCTCCCGTGTCCGGCGGTTCCGTCCGGCTCACTGTCAGGTCTCCACCTCCCCTCATTCTCGACGAACTTGGTGAGTAAAGCAGTCCTTTAGGATGCATGGGATGATACCTTTACCCCTGGAGGCAAACATGTGGTGATCTGTACGTGCTCCCGGACTGGCCGTCACCTGGCCACGTTCACCCGTCGGCCTGGGTCGAGTCTGTACACACTGACTACTGCGCCTCCTCAGGTTGCTGCGTCTGCTCAGGTGTCCGCGTCAGGTCAGGTAGCAGCCCCCTGCTCGTGTCGCCTCCTGTCGCACCAGACTCTCCTTTGGCACCACCGCCTTGGTCACCCCTCCCTGCCACGCCTTCGTGGCATGCACTCCCGCCTCCTTGTCTCTGGTCTTCCCAGGTCTCTGCCTTCCCTCCCACCCTCGCCTGCCCCGCCCTGCGTTCCTTGCGTCGAGGGGCGGCAGTGCGCCGCTCCTCACGCCTCGTTTCCCCCGACGACAACTCCCCTGCAGACTCTCCTCACGCCTCGTTTCCCGGACGTGTGGGGCCCAGCCCGCGTCACTGGACAGGGCCGCGAGCTATACTTTCTGCTGGTTGTTGACAACTATTCGAGTTACACCACGGTCTTGCGAAGCAAGGGTGAGGTCCCTGCTGTCTTGATCCCTTGGATCTGCGCTGTTCGTCTTCAGCTCCGTGAGCGGTTCCGCAATGACCTTCCCATCCCGCGTCTGCACTCTGACAGAGGTGGTGAGTTCTCCTCCGACCTCTTGCGGGACTTTTGTCGTGGGGAGGGCATCCTCTAGTCGTTCACGCTTCCGGCCTCCCCACAGCAGAATGGGATTGCTGAGCGCCGCATTGGCTCAGTCATGGAGGTGGCTCGTACCTTCATGATCCACGCGGCTGCTCCCCATTTTCTGTGGTCGTTTGCAGACCAGTACACTGCGCATCAGCTCAATCTCTGGCCCCGTGTCTCATTGCCAGAGACCTCGCCCACATTGCGTT